GTGAGAAGCCTCCATATTCTTTAATGTAGTTAGAACTCTAATCAGAAAAAAAAAAACCCAGCCATAACGTTAACCATAAGTAACCAAACAAAATAAAGAGATTTTTGGCACTTTTAGTTTTTTGATTACAGTCACATATTTTTTATAAAACTGACTGATAAAATGTCCCAACAAGCGCAAAATAAGGGTTTTATCACATTGTGGGGACATTTGCTACAAATACATACTTAATAATATTAAATATAACACCACCTCCCCACACACACACACACACACACTGCATGTGCAGCCTCAAATCCCCGTCAAGCTCACTTATACAGTTTAATGTCAGAAGTTAGAAACCTGTAAATATCGTTAGTAAAGGGAACAGCATTTGGTTCCACGTGGTTAATTCGGTTCCATAAAAGAACCGGATTACGACCACAGCCTGCATGCTGTCAGTGAAGGGAAAAAACACATTACTTTTCAGTCCTCTAATATTATTCATAAAGGCCCTCTTTCCAAAATGGTTGCACCTGAAAAATAATAGATAATTCTGCTGAATCCTTTTTATATTGCTATTACCTCGTAATGCACTGGGAATCTGAATTTTTCATTATAATTTTATTTTATTTTAACAAATAGTTTACAATAGTAGAGACTTCCAGCTCAGAGAAAGAAATATTATCAAGGAAAACAAACAAGATTTGTGTTTGTTATGACAATGGGGACGCTTTTAATAACCCTATTGCCCAAAATGAACACATTAGTCCTGTTAATGAAATGGTAACCCTGATAGAAAATCAATTACAACATTATTTTATCATATCTGCTCAAGAATTCATATCTCCCATTCAGCTCTCGCTCGCCTTGCATAGTAATGCGACCGCCTGCCAATCACAGCTCTCCTTGTCTGAGCTGGCCAGACTGAAGAATGCGATGCTCTTTAATTGAATCATAAGTGCGATGACAAGAAAATAAGAGAATGTGAGGATGGGTTTGACAGAAAAATAATGCAACTATCTGACACAGTTTCTCCAGGCTGTGTATGGGCGTAGCTCTGGTATGATAATGACAAAGATTATTTATTGCACACAGCTCCGTCCACTGATGCATACTGTCAGTCCTGTTAAAGTGCTGCACCGCTGCTGACACCTCAGTTCATTTGCCAGCATCTGTTTGGCATGTCTGACGATGTAGTTCTCATGCATCGCGCAACACAACACTATTGCTGCATCAAAACTGACCAATGCTTTTTCGCTGTGGCCCTGAGCATTGTCGCGAAGAGTAAGAAACAGACACTCAGACTTTACCAGGTGGATTAAGCAAAGAAGCACTTGTGTTAATTAGGGATCAATAAAATAAAGCAGTATGTTTGCAATACTTGTAATTGCAGCAGTTTTATTATTAGCAAAAAAGCAATTGCACCAATAAGTGTAAAAGCAGTTAAAACAACAGAAATAAAAGAATATCACGCAGCATCAGAAAGACAGACAGGGTGTGGATTATAGCTCTGTTTTCTCCAGGAAGAGAGTGTGCGAGAGCCTGGACCCAAGGCTCTGGGCCGGGCCCCATGCAGCCACGCACACATTATGAACATGAGCAGCTGCGGACTCGCTTTAGAGGAGGGTGCATTTTTCAGCTGCTCAGCTGGTGGCAAAAGCTTCACTACAGCAACCAGTTAATGACCCTTCGGGTCCATCTGGCTCCTGCAGAGCGCAGTCTGTACAGAGGCCGTCAGATCACATGACTCTCCCTGCGTCTGATTTGCAAACTCAGCCCCTGGGACACAATCTGCCATCCGTTCTCCAGTGGGATTAAATTAGGATGTTTATTTATGATTAAGTTAGACAGGAAAAAAATGGATTAATGATAAATGGATCAGAGAAACAAAATCAATATACCTTGTAATTATTTAGTTTCGGTATAAAGTTACTGACCAGTAAATATACGCTGTTATGATACAACAAAATTACTCTAGTTCAGCTATAGTCCTGTACATCAAAAGTACATCAGTAAATGCTAATGCATGCAAGTAATACAAAGAGCATGTTGCTCTCATACAGAGGTTTATATCTGCCAAAAAGCTGTTATTTTTCCTTTGGAAGTCAAAAGCTGACATCCATTTGACACATTATTCCAGGAGTTCTGCAGTTAGTATCTGAATACAACCTTAAGTAACATCTTTGCTACAGGACATGCATGTGAATTGTGATATAACATACATTCAGAATGACTGTCTTTTTAAAGTTTTCAAATTCAATTTTATTTTACACCAGTTCAACCCTGAAAGTCTACATATAAAGAAAAAAAACAATATTATGACAAGCTCAATGATTATAACATTAAAGTTCTTTTTCTTTGTCAACAAACTGTTTCTACAAATTTTGAATAGGTGTTATCTGCAATCCAAATGGATATTAAACATCTTATTTGTTTTGAAAAAGGTTTATAATATTTTAGGAATGTTACACATTAGTTATTACAATTCACTTTGCTTTACAATGTATGAAAGATAAACCCATGATTCAAAATGAAGTAACTTTCTACATTATAAAACATGAACCATTTCTTAATTTATCAAGCAATGAGGACATAGACACCTCCAACTCTTTTTCATGTCCCTCAAACTATACCAGAACAATTTTTTCAGTATAGCAGGGAGCATTATCTTGCTGAAAGAGGCCATGAAGGGATGTATATAGTCTGAAACAAAGTTTAGGTAGGTGGTACGTGTCAAAATAACACGCACATGAATGCTACAGTAGGACCCAGTGTTTATGAGCAGAACACTGCCCAGAGCGTCACACTGCCTCCGCCGACTCGTCCCATAGCACATCCTGCTGCCATCTCTTCCCAGGTAAATGACACACAGGCACCCGGCCATCCACATGATGCAACAGCTCTGACTCAGTCACCTAACCATCATGATTTAGCCCTTGTCAAAGTCGCTCAGACCCATCTACTTGCCCATTTTTCTTGAATCCAACACATCAGCTTCAAGTTGTGACTGTTCACTTGCCTAATATATAATGGCACCATTGACACGTGCCATTGTAACTAGATAATCAATGCCATTCACTTCACCTGTCAGTGGTTTTAATGTTAAGACTGATCAGTGTATAAAGCAGCCGTAAAGCTTCCTGTAAACAACTTAACAGAGGACAATTAAAATTATTCTTCAGACTAAAGTTTGAAGTTTTTGTCCTTGTAACATGTTGGCTGCCAAGTAAACGGTGTTTCCAAACGAATATAAGGTTGTTCTAGTGCTCCACCTGATGCTGGGAGTTATTGGGTCGCTGATTCATTGGACTGCAATCTTTACCCAGAAAAACTGTATTATAAGCATCCCACAATGTGGCAATAATGGGCCATCTGTTAAAATGTTTGTCATGTATTATTCATGGTGAACAGTACAAGTAGAGGAGCGCCATGCCAATTTATCCCTGGACCTGAACCAAGCAGAGCCACTGGTAAATACAAGCTACTCACACCCAGTTGCCCCTAAAGTTCCTTGTTGTGATTTCAATACCTCCATGGCAATAAATATTTAATCACCTTGTTTATTTGAAATATGTGAAAGTAAGAGCAGCACTGCTTATTCGATAGACTTCCATAACACATACATGCTAAAGTCAAGGACAGTTTGTACTGGCATGTCATACAATAGGGGACTTAATAAATAATCAAATAATCTAAACAAAACACTTTTTTGATACTGGGTTTGTGTACAATCGATGTCTTGTGACTGCAGAACATGAACGGCAAACCTCCTACTTTATTAGTTTATTTTCTTGCTATATTCAATTTAAAATGGTGCTTCCTAATTACCAGTCTTAAACACAGTAATTCAGACATTTAGATTAAAATATTGGTTTACAACGAACAGATCTCCTTTACTACACTTCCATGCCCTTGTTCAGTGCTCGTCAAGCTCAGGGTAGGGGGTTAGCAAGCGGAACGTTTGAAGGACATTACAAACCTTGAGAGAATGATCCCCTTCCATTTGTAATGGTTTCAGTAGAGGCACTGAGGCAGTCTGCTAAACTCCACACCTCATTTATCTACCTTCACACTTAGGGGAGATCATAACATGCAAGCAAGGGCTGCATGCCTTAGCTACTATGGGATACCTTAAGCCATCAGGTCACTCTGCATTAGCAAGAGAAAAATCAGATATAAAAAGGTCTTCACTTATGCTCGTAATCACCGTGTTGCACTGTTTACATTTGTTGTACTGTGTGTAATGATCAGCTGACACTTCTCATCAAGAAGTTTTTATCCAGTGACTGATCACTCTGTTTGCACATAATGTGAGATAAGTAAAAAACAAATGACTGGATTCTGCTACAAGAGAATGAACGTGCTGGCAGTGGCTGTTTCTAGTCTGTTCCTTTTCCCAGATGCACAGATGTTGCCCTAAATTTCAACATGTCTGGGAGGGGCCTCCTAGTCTGAAGTCACACCACAATAACCTGAAGCTCGACCTCTCCCTGTCGGAACTCGCCTTCATTCCCGCCAGACAATCAGTCCCACCTTGACTTTCCAACCCCAGTAAATGATACACTTGTCTCTGCCGCAGGGACTGCCAACAAACCTAGATGTCGCTCTTGTATCACCTTGTCCTGCCACAAAGCCCAGTTATCATGAGAGAAGGTTCTTCCTTCACCCCCATCTCAGAGCTAATGGCTTCAGGTTTCTCT